GTGGACTAACACGGCCACGGCCCTTCTGATCGTGAGTGGGAAAAAGGAGCCAGGCGGTAGCTCTGTGGCCTGGTGGGACGGTGGAGGACAGCTCAGTCGGGTCTTCTCCAACTGAGTGGCGTTGTCGTCATGGCCACTGAAACTGAACCCCAAGGGAAGCCCTTGGTCCTCCCTCATCATCTCCCTCGCAGGATGCTTTTGTGGGCCTCCCGGTGGAGGGAGAGGAGGAGGACGAGGAAGGAGAAGGGCGAAGAGTGGTTTTCCTTCTCCCTTCCGGCGCCCACTCCAGAGAGCCCGGCTCGCCCCAGCAGGGCGCCTTCCTGGGTCTCTTCAGAAGTGCTTTTTTGCGGGAGAGCGCATTAGCGCTGTCTCGCTAATCTGATCCAACGGCTGGGATTGGAGGGGCCAGGGTTGCCACAGCAACCCGGCCCCAAGAGAAGCCATCCCCGGCAGCCTCTTTTGTTCCGGTCTCGCTCGCTCGAGGGGGGGGGCGTTGGCAAAGCCGGCGGTGCCTCCAGAGAATGGGCCGGGGAGTCGCAGGGCGGAGGGAGGGGGATCCCAGCGGGGGCTAAGCCCAAAGAGGCACCCAACAGCCGGCAGCCACAATAGCCGCCCGCCAAGGCCTGCCACTCACACTTAGCGCTCGGCCGCCTGAACTTGGCTGCACTGGCCGGCCCGGACGGCTAATCCCGCCTCCCCTGCCTTGGGTTTCCATGGACACGGGAGCCTATTGAGGACACACACACACATCCTCTGTTTGAGAACGGCAAATGGCATTGGCGTCGTTGGGAAAGGCCGCCGCCAATGGGGACGTGCTCTTAGAGAGCGCCGGGGGGGGGGAGAAGGCCAGCTGGCTGGCGGGCCGGACGGCTCTTCCCAGCGAAGGACCATCCGCCATCTTCCTTCTAAACTTTTCTGTGACCTTGAAGGGGTCACTGCGTCCCTTCGCCCCTGGGGCCTCGGCCAAGCTAACGGTCCCCCATAGTTACCGGAGGCGCCTCTCCCTGGCAGTTAAGACTCCATCTTCCCACTTAAACAAGGTGGGAGTCCTTCTGCGGTTCTGGATGTCTTGATAACACGTCCGTCTTCCGCAGGGGAGCTGGTCTTCCCATACATTATTTCCGTGCTTCCATGTTTTATGCCCTTGGATGCGGTTGCCGCCTGTTCTGTTTCAGGCAGCCCTTTTGTTTTGATTTAGGTGAGCTGGTGAAACTCCTCGTTAACTTCTTCAGCATGGGTTGGCCACCGGTCCCCTCTCTGCTTTCCTTCTCCTGGGTGACCCTCTTTCTGGATGTTGTCATATATATATAAACTGAGGGCAAAGTGCCTCCGCTTGGACCACCTTGGTTTCCCCGGAATCTATCTATCTATCTATCTATCTATCTATCTATCTATCTATCTATCTATCTATCTATCTATCTATCTATCTATCTATCTATC